AGAACTGCCCAGTCACAGCACAAGTTAGGGTTTCACAGGGGTAGACCTAACTTATGCCACATGCCTAGAGTCGCAGGGGTGAGGGGTCTTACACTAGTGAAAGACTGGGCATAGAGGAACTCGTTCTACTATGTCGCCTGCCCATGCTCTGCCCCTGCAATGCTTCTGACACTTACCCCTCCATACCTATGCTGGGACTGGGTGTGCAGCTGCTGGAGGCAATGGAAACAGCTCCACTAACTTTAGATCAGTGAAGAGTTCCCCTGTACACTGGTCATCTCTGGGCTGCCACTGCAAAGTGGCCTTAATAGACTAGAGAATCTAGCCCAATGTCTCATGTCACAAAAGCCCTTTTTTGGGGCACTGGGCAATAGCTGCCAAAGAGTCTGTGCTTAGTGTATCAAGAGTTTCTTTGTTCTATAATATATTTATTTATATATTTATTTGTATTACCATAGTGCCCCGGAACCCTAATCATGGATCTCATTTTACTAAGTAAACTTTTCTCTGTTTCGCTCAATACAATACTGTCAGCTTTGTGGGCATTTTTTCCCCCTCGTTGGAAATCCAGAGCATTAGTTAGAAGAAAATCTTTTGCGTTTTTAGCCTTTTTCAAGTTTCTCTCTTTTTTTCACATTCTTATTTGGAGTATCATAGTAGCTTGGTATGCAACACTTTTGTGAGTTTTCATTATTCCAAGTATTTTTCTTTGGTTTTCATTTAATTGTTATTGCTGAATACTAGTTTCCTGGGTTTCCTGCTTAAAGTTAAAACTTACAAAACATCACCAAAGCAAAGAACTGAGAATTTTTTTTAAGTACTCTAAATACTTAGAGAGCTAGCTTACAATCTGCCTTGAGTAAGGGATGGCACAAATCTTCACTGCTCCATGAGAAGATCAGGGAACAAACTGTGATTCTGAGAGTTACAATTTGGTCCCTGTTTCCCCCCCTGTGGAAAGAATCTGCCATGATGCTTGGCCAGCAGTGTATTACTTCCCCTTTTGCTGGCTGCTACATTGGGGTGGCGGAATCCAGACTCAGCCCATTCCCTAACCTGACCTTGTCCTGCCCACCCACTCCACATCCAGGGAAAATAAGGAAATAGCAGTTCTGCAGTTTCTGCTCTACCACAGCGCTGTGACCAGTGATATAGGTAGGCTTTGCAGGGGAGTGAGGCATGCTGGGCAAATAACAATCTTGCCCTTAAAACTTACCCATTTTGCAAAACTGAATATTGCTTGTGGAAGAGTCTTAATAATTCCGCACACCCCACACTCTCTGGGAGCTCATCTCCAGAAGAGCCTAATAAGCCCTTGGTCCTGAAATGAGCTGTATGTGGGCAGAACCCTGACTTCAGTGGGTTTCTGTGAGGATACACGATTCTGCCTGTGCAAAGCTATTTTCAGGATTGAGGCCCAATTTTGTACATAATTGAAGGGAAAAATTATATCAAAAATGGTATAAAATCCTACTTCTCTTGAAAAAACCACACACTTTAATTTTCCTAAAAATACCCCCTTCCTCCCAATTAGTGGAAAAATAAGCATCACAACCCAGCTTGGTTGTGGGTAAGAACCCTAAGTATTAATTTATAGCCCAAACCTACACCCATTAAAATCAATGAGACTTTTCCCATTTATGCTTCAACAGCAGCAGGTTCAGGCCCTTTGTTTTCAATATACATCATATATAAAATTACTGTAATTTTCTTTTACCATCTAAGCAATAAATGTGCTGAGTAAAACATATTGTTAAATTCTTGGTTTTGGTGAACAGGGTGGAGCTATCCGCTATTCTACTGATGGGCATAGCTAGTTAGAAGGCATGCTATGTTTTCAGGTGCTTTTGCTAAGCCAGGGAAGAACATCATTTTTTTCATCCCCATGAAAATATTGGCTGTAATTTTTTTCTCTCTCTTTTGGAGGTAAAACTATTTTTTAGGTTATTTCCTGACAGTTCCATTTCCACAAATAAGAGGAAGGACTGTTGTGTGGTTAACATGTGGTTGTAACTCTGAAAAGTGACAGTAAAAAATGACAATCTGGGGTTCTATGCTTATTGTCTCTGACTGACTTCCCTATAATATCTGCTCACCATTTGTACATAATAAATTTTCTGATACCATTTTAAGGTACTAGACTGGGAATCTAGAGACCTGGGAGCCTGATTCTTCATTCATCCATCCTGGAATTTAGGATAGGAACGGGAGGAAAACAAAGATGGCTTTAAGCCATTTTTGTATTCCCTCTATTCTGGGGCCCAGCATAAGTTATAGAAGCCTTGAGGTTGGACAGCCCTTACATGGTGACCCCTTGTGTGCAGAATGTATTTTTAAGAGGCCTTTTCCATCCCATTTAAAGCTCCTTTAGAGCAGTATAAAGAGGCCTTAGGGTGACAGACAATCAGGGACTAATCAGATTCTAACCCCAGTTTTACCACATACTTCTGAGGCCTGATCATCCCTTCAGTTGTGTGTGATAGAATGATCAGGCCCTTGCTGTGACCTTGGGCAAGTAATATAATCTCTCTGTCCTACATTGATTTTTGTGTGTGTGGAAATCTCCTGCTGTTTTTCTACCACCTGGGTAATTCCACTATTGCTAGCATCAATGGATGAACTGGTGTAGATTAGAGCTAGAGCAACAGCGGGAGAACTTCACAAAAATCTTGGAGTAGACACAGCCTTTGTTTCCTTATCTATAAAATGAGAAAATCTAGCACAAGATTTGTGGCAATTTTTAGGCTAAATTTATTAATGTTTTAAAATGCTTTCAGATTCTCAGATGGAAGTCACTATATAAGTAAAAAATATTAATAAGAGGACAAAGAAAAACAAAAAATTTTACTTAGGTACAGTACAAGCCCTATACAATATATTAAATGAAGATATAAACCTAATTCAGAAGTCTGAGGATATTCCCACTTGTATTTATTTATTTATCATTATTATGAAAGTGGTGTCCATAATTCCCAATCAAGATCAGAGGTCATTGGATTGGGTGCTGTACGGGCACATTAAAAGACAATACCTACCCTGAATGTTACAAATGTTTTGCAGTAAGTTAAATCTTAGATTTGAACTACTAGTCAATGTTCCTGTGCCACTGATTCCCTTTTAGATTACTCAGTACTCAATCTTCTGAGTCAGTAAAATCTAAGAGGAAAAAAATGATTTTAAAACATCAGAATTTCACTGAAAACTGGATGCTGTGCCTGAGATGAGTTTCCTGTCACATCTGATATATAATTTAAAAATATTTTAAAATTAACAAATAATGTAAAATCAAGTAATTTTGTGTATTGATTTGCTGTTCCTAGTTGTGCTTCTTAATATATCAATATTATATTAATGCTGGGAAATAATTATTATTTGTTTCAAATGGAAAATATGCTTGACATGCTTAGACAAAAATAAAGTGTCTGCATTGAAGAGTTTACATTCTAGAAGGTAAAAAGATTATATGCAGAGGTATGAAGAGCTTAGTGGATTTGCTTTGGCTTTCTTATTTTAAAAAAGTTTTAAACTCACTTCTTTTAAAGATCGTGGAAGAGGTGTTGTTTTTTTTAAGTGACTGGAATGGGAAGCAGTAAGCTTGGTGAACTGGCTTGGGAAGAAAATGTAATGCAGAGAGATGGCAGGATGGAAGAAAGCATAGACACTGGTCTGAGGGAGAGCAGAATAAGGTATTAATATTGGCATTGTGGGTGATTCAAAGGGTTTGATGGGGAACATGGCATCCAGGATGTAGGACAGGGCAGAGTTTTCAAGGGCTTGGAAGGCCAGGACTAAAAGTTTAAAGTCGATGTAGTGCTTAAAGGTAACTACAAAGGAATTCTTTTGTAATCATTGGGGTTTTGCTCTTTCTTTGTTTTATGATGTAAGAAGATGATCTAAGAGGTTGATTTTTGTTTTTTAAATACTTTTTTCAGTTTTTTTTTTTACTTTAGAAATATCAGATCTAGTCTTTCCTGGTTTTGCTGGAGGAGTGTGTGTGTGTGTGTGTGTGTGTGTGTGACAGATGTTTCTTATGAGGGTTCACATATTAGATGAAGGGTAGGCAGTTGAATTTGTAATAAAGATATCCTTTGTTTCAGTCAGTCTCCCCATCATTATTGTTATTACTGTTTGTGTGACAGAAGCACCTGGGAACTCCAGTCCAGAGATAGAGCCATACTGGTATTGCACTTGTGCAGGCAAGTAACAAAGAAGACTCTGCCCCCAAGAGTTTACAAAGCAGGTGCTGATGGATGCACCAGGGGGACAAACGTAGGTTGGGATGCGGTTGGGAGGATGAAGGTACAATAGAGCAATGTTTAGCAGAAGTGTCCTCACTGCACTCCCTCTCCCAATGCCCAGGGAGGAAAGAGGAGCTTCACAAGGTGGCCAGGTTAAACTCCAGGCTCTGATAGTGTGTATGCAAGAGCGTGCACTCCAGAGGCAAAGAGCCCGCATAGAAAACGCCTTGCCCCTGCAGCCATGGATGTGAAGGAGCAAGAACATGGCTGTCTTGTTCTTTTTAATTTCTCACTACAGAACATGGCGTTGAAACATGCCTGTGGGGGAAATCTCAGCCAGGGGCTGCTGCACACGAGAGAGAGCGAGCTCCTGGCCTGCAGAAGATGCTTTCAAACCGTGCTCCGCAAACAGCGCTGCAGCTACTGCTATGAAGAAACCGGCCAGCGCCCCCTCCAGCCTACCCGCCCACGCACTTTTTCTCAAGGCCGCAATCTGGCAAACGCACAATTCTCCACAAAGATGGCGGTGCGGGAGGGGCGCGGCAAACTCCCCTGTGAACACCCTTCTTCCCCCCGCACAGAGACTGAGGGGGCGGTGCCGCGGCCCCTCTCTAGCTACCTGGAGGCCCACTCTATGATCAGGGGGCTCGGAAAGAGGGCGTGGCGTGCGGCGGCCAGCGCGGCCGTTGACGAGGCAGGCTAGGTACGAGGCAAACGGGGCGGGGCCAGGAGGGCGGGCGGTGGAAGAGGCGGGGGCCGGGAGCCCAGACTGGCAGTTAGCAGCGACTCCCCTTTGTGTCTGGGCTGGCAACGGGGCGCGAGCAGGAGCCAGCCGGGGCTGGGAGGCGACGCGTGTGAATCCCCCGCACCTCTCCTGGCCGAGCCCGTCTGTGGAGGGCGAGGGCAGGGAGCAGGAGCTGCCGCGCGGGGGAGTCAGCCTGTGGGAAGGCGCCGGGCTCCGCTCCCGCCCCGGGGGCACCCCGCAGCCCGGGACCGCCGGCGGAAGCCCCGGGACGCCCCTCGCGGGGTCTCTCTAGGCGGAGCAGCGCTGCCCGCCGACGGCGGGGGAAGGGGCGAGGAGGAGACGGGAGGAGGAGGGAGAGGGGCCTCTGTCGCTCTCCCGGCCGGCGGCGAGCAGGACCTGGAGCCTGAGCCATTGCTTAGCTGGAGGCACCCGGGCGGGCGCCCTCCCTTCGGAGGGGCGAGGGCTGCGCTCGAGTCCTGTGCGGCTGAAGAGCCCAGATGGGCCAAGGCGCAGCCTGTCCGTGGAAGTGACTGAGGGCGCCTCTCCTCGTTACGGAAGAGGGCGAAGGCAGACCGAGACCGTCCGCGGGATGGGAGGCGTCTCTGGCCCCCGTCTTCTTCAGAGCTTGTTCCGCGTAGCCAGGGCCGAGTAAGGAGGCTCCAGAGGTGACCGTTGCTGTCGATTCCCCCTCACCCCTGGATATGTTTCATGCCAAACCTGGATGCTTCTTTGATATCGTGAAGTTGCGTGGGAAATAGTCTGGGTTTCCGGTGTGACCGCAAGAGTAGCTGCTCACCTAGGGGAAGGGAAATGCACCTGGGTTTGGAGACAAAACCTCCCTTTTCTATGGTCGTTAGAAAGAAGAGGAGCCAAGTCCCGAGGCATGAAGACAGATACGTGTAATGGAGTAAGACCTCAGACAGCTCCTGTCATCTGCCGTTTGCCCTTCCAGACTGGATTGTGATCCAAGAGAGTTTTAAGATTGTTTAGAAAAGGGAGGAAATTCCTCCTTTCGGTATTTTTTTCCCTTCTGCCTCCTTCTTTGGCTTCCTCAGGTATGAGTGCCTCTCTGCAGCACCTTTTGCGGGTGCTCTTGCTCTCCAGTGCCACCCTGCTGCTCAGCACTGCGGCTGGTAAGTAGCCACCGGGTGTAATATACTTGCCATTTTGGCAGAGGAAAGGGGGTGGGGTCCGGCAGTATTTCAGTATATCTGTGACCCATTAAACAGTAGTATGTGTGTCTCAGTGAAGTGTGATAATGGTTTTAAGTGAGGACCATATTTGAGACCATATTTTTAAGTGAGGACCATATTTGAGAATAAAACATGCTTTTTGTATAAAGGAACCCAATCTGCAGCTGAGGTTTATTTTCTCTTGGTCTGTTCATGCTGGTTATTGGCTTGTTCTCTCTCTCCTTTAAAAAAAAAAAAAAGGATAATTTGGGGTGGTGGGTTTTTTTCCTATGAAATGTTTAACATCTTTGTGAGGTAATGCCAGAATTTTTAAAATACAATTTAATCACAAGAAAGAGCTATGTCTGCTTGCTAATGGGGTCTTTGGGCACAGCCATTTTTTATTTTACTAACATCGATGCTATTAGGGGCAATATAACTACAACATTTGATACATCTTTTAGGAAAAATGGACTTATTAATGCATATTTCTTGGAGTTTGAAACAGAAATGATTTTTTTCACAATTATGTTATTTATAGAATAGTAAAATAAGACGGTGATGAGGAATACTGCAAGATCTGAGTATACATAATGTTAAAGGTTTAATTTTCCTACAGTAAATGTAATATTTTTGAAAAAAATGCTCTATTTTAAATTTTTTGAAGCTCAGTGTTAGATGCACAGAACAATTTGCCATGAGATTGGAACAGTATATAGCCCTTGCATCCATTGGCTTTTGGTGATTGTGACAGATTAGCATGAGGGACTCTCTGAAGTGCTACCCAGGTTTATTAGGTGCTAATAGTTATTCCTCTGTTCTATATACTTTTAATGGTTTTTGGAAGATTCATAGTACCTTGGTATCTTTCTTTCCACTCAGAAACTAGTGTAGAATGCTCAATCTTCCCAGCATTCTTTTTATAATCTACTGTGATCCTCAGATATAGGATAATAGAGAAATGTGCAGTTTCTTGTGAAGATGGCATAAGAAGATTGGTAGTTGGTCACATCCTTTTTTTTTTTGTTTGTTTTTTAAATTAATTAATTTTTAAATGCATTTTGGTCAGTGTTCAAAATAGTCTCTTTGCAAGTAGAATAATACTGTGAATTAGACGTGTTTGGTCAGTTTCTCCATTGCTTTACTAAGAATGGATAGTCTTCCATTTTATAAAAGGCTTTCTTTGGGGAAATATTGAACTGAAATCATTGATATGGAGCACTTTCCTGCATCAGCCTGACTTTTGCCTGTCCTTGACATTTTAGATCCATATCTACCGTGTTTTTCTGTGATAGCTTGGTAAGAGGATTTCTTTGAAGAATAAACCTTTCAAGGTCAAAAGCTTGGGATATTTCAGAGTCATATACATTTTAATACCAATTATCTAACCTTGTCTCTTAAATGTGAAACTTAAAAAAAATAGTTCTGTTTCTCATTTAATTACTTTGTTAAATGTTTATGAGTTAATTTTTCTTTGTACTGTTGAGAGTGAAGGTTTAATAGTACTGATCTGAGCCAGGCAGGGGATGGGGCAGGTGCCTACAAGCCTACTTAGTGAGCTTCGCCAATTTCGCCTCAATTCTGACCTGTCATAATCACTGCTACTTCAGTCCTGGGTTTGTCTTGTACAGACTGATAATCATGTCACATTCTTTGGTAATCTTGTGAAATGCATGAATAGGAACTCATTTTCACATTATGGCTGTATAATACTTCTGCTGATAATATGTACAATACAAAAGTTCTGTACAGCTTAAGTCTCGATGACAACCATGTTGAAGAATGCGCTAATGTTTTGAGATTTTGCTAATATAACCATTCTAAAGCTTGACTCTAAACAGTGTATTTCAGAAAAGAAACCTAGGAAACCATACTACGTGAAGGTCTACCCTTATATGTATGTGAATGACCCTCTCCCCCACTTCCCTGAAACTAGGAGCTGTGCATTCACATCTGAGTGTATACTTTTGGCCCTGTGCAGCTCTGAAATCCTTCATTAATGTCCCACAATATGGCTGACCTAGTGAATGGATAAGACAATAGTAGGTGAAATGCATTGTTGATGATTGTGAAGTAAGGCACAGTGAAGGGAAAATTTTAATTTAAAACTTTATAAGGCATATGAGTAATTGAGTATCAACTTAGGAAAAATATCTAGGCATCCTTCAAGGACAGCTCAGTAAAGACCTTTGCAGCTATAGTCTAAACAAGGAAAGATCTTAGGAGCCTAAGAAATGGGGTGGAACATAAAACAATGGCATTAGAAGTCTATGGTTCACTCTTATCTGGAATACTGTATGCAGAAAAGGAGATGGTAGATAGGGCACTTCCTGTCCATTTAATATTTGAAGGGCTTAATTTGCTGTGGGGTAAGTCCTCGCGCCCCCCCGACTTTTCATAGGTCTATATGCTCCATGATATCTTCCATTTCTTGCCCCCTCCCTTCCCCCCTGGACTTTGCAGGGTATAATATAATCACATATAGTATTCTATATGCTGACACAATTGCCCCTCCCCCTGTGATTTTTCTTTTCTGAAATGACACCTGAACCTAATAAATATGTATAACTGAAGACTCAGAATTCTTCCTGTCCAGTCATAGTGACTAAATCTGCCACCTTCCTGTATAAAATCTCTACAGATCTTAAGTGTCCAGTATTCTTCTATTAAACTTGTATAGCCCTCCCTCTAAAGAGTAATGCTACTGTGAGGGGAAAAAGTCTCAACCAAGTGTTGATCAAGCTTTTAAAGATGACCTATGAAGGGAAGGGAAAAATTGGGCTTATGCCACTTTTATTTAGTTTTATTTTGTATAAAGAAGGCTTGACATTCTTCCTCACACTTCTTTTCTTTAGAAATATCAATCATATTGAATCTTCCCCTTTTTTTGTTGGAGGACTTTTTGGATGACTCTTATATCCTGGGACCGTAATTGAAGAGGAATGGGTATTGAATACTTGAGAACTTTTCTTGTGTGGCTTTTGTTAAAGCTTTTGTTTTGTTTTTGATAACATTTATTTAATAGTCTGAATAAAAATCACTTCCCCTCTAAATCAGTCAGTTTCACTACCTTGGTATCCCTGATGTATAATCCTCAAGAAATTGCACTTCAAATTTTTTTTTTCCATTGCTAAAATCAGAAAATATTAGAAAAAAATGGGTTTGTGCCTTTTTAGGACATCTTTAAGAAATCTGTTGGTCTTTATCTGCATAGTTCTTTGTCTCAATTATTAATATTAAAAAGCGAAAGTACTGTAAAGTAATGATTGAAGTATTTTTAAAAGCAATTAAAATAATGTTTTAAAATTTTAAAATGAATGAATTGGGGCAGTCTTGTCTTGTTCTGCTTAGAAAGTTAGCTTCCTCAGTGTTTCAAAATTTTAATCCCAAATGTGAAATTGTGAGAGGTGGGACAGATTGGCCATTAAATTCAATTTCTCTAGTGACCAGTATTTCTGACTCATGATCTAAGATGGTGTCCTCCTGTGTGGACTATTGATCTTGTATATCAAAGTGGTTGCCTGAAATCATCTCTACTCCAGATCCCTGCTGTTTTGCCATAGATGTGCCCATTGCTAGGGCCCCATCAAATTCACAGCCGTGAAAAATGTGTCACAGACTGTGAAATCTGGTCTCCCTTCGTGAAATCTGGTCTTTTGTATGCTTTTACCCTAAACTATAAGTGTGCATGGGGGAGACCAGCGTTTCTCAAATTGGGGGCCCTGACCCAAAAGGGAGTTGCAGAGGGGTTGCAAGGTTATTTTAGGGGAGTCACCCTTACTTCTGTGCTGCCTTTCAGCGCTGGGTGGCTGGAGAGCAGTGGCTGTTGGCCTGGTGCCCAGCTCTGAAGGCAGCACCTCATCAGCAGCAGTGCAGAAGTAAGAGTGGAAATACCATACCATGTATTACTTACTTCTGTGCTGCTGCTGGCGGTGGCTCTGCATTCAGAGCTGGGCTACGGGCCAGCAGCTGCTTAGCTTTGAAGGCAGCACCGCCACCAGAAGTAGCGCAGAAGTAAGGATGGCATGGTATGGTATTGCCACCCTTACTTCTGTGCTGCTGCCTGCAGAGCTGGGCCCATCAGTAGCTTTCACTCTCCAGCCGCCCAGCTCTGAAGGCAGTGCAGAAGTAAGTGTGGCAGTACTGCAACACCCTCTGCCTCATAATAACCTTGTGACACCCCCCCAACTCCTTTCGGGTCAGGACTCCTACAACTACAACACCATGAATTTTCAGATTTAAATAGCTGGAATCATGAAATTTATGACTTTTAAAAGCCTATGACCGTGAAATTGACCAAAATGGGCTGTGAATTTGGTAGGGCTCTGCCCATTGCCTGTGGCCGTTGGATCTTTCCTTTCTCATTTGAGTAGTAGTCAGGAAATCCAATTTTTTATGGTTAGAGATGGGAACTTGTTCAAAAGGAGTTAGTCTGGCAGACAGAACCACTCTACTTGCTTGAGGGATACAATTGGTACACTTGAGGGTAGGTTAGTACATAAGCCCTTCCCCCACATTAAAGTAGGTATTGATTAACTTTTCTGAGGCCTTACTCTGAATGTACCAGCCCCTCCTTTAATGGTGATTTCTGTGTGTCAGCTGTGATTTCAAAAGTCATGTTGCCAAGGCGCCAGAGAACAGAGCAGTGCTTCCTTGAGACAGTGCTTCTGTGTGAATGGCCCTGCCCTCTAGACATCCAGGGGTAACTGGGTAGCTGAGTCTCCTGCTTATTTTGATCTGATATAGGGAAAACTTCACTACTTTGCCCTGGACGAAGAGATCAGGGGAATTTAGCTGAGTTTTCCTTTTTCACTGGAGCCGAGCCTCTGCGATGTTTGCTTTTATTTTTTTGCAGAAGAGGGGTTGTCTGGCCTTGTTACTTTTTTAGCAAATATTGCCTAAAAGGGACATCAACTTAAAAAACTCACTCTATTTGAATTTTTTTACATATTAACACCAAT